AACCACTGGGTTGAATTTCTGTCTACTTTGTATTCAGTCATTTATTTCTAAATGTCTTGAGAGCAGTTTCTGGAGCCAGAACATCTGGTGAGAGGCTATCTACGATGCCATTAGGAACAATAACGACAATTGCCAATAAAGTGACGTTATTTTGAGTAAGTGTTGTTGTTGGCCGTACGTTTCTGTACAAAACCTGCCATTTAGTTTGGGAAATGGGTGCACGAGGCATGGGTGCTGCTAACATGTGAGAATATCTTCTGTTGGGAACCAAAGTGCTTCATATTTAACATAAAAATAAGAAATTATAGAGTAAATCAGGAGTAAAACCACGATATTGTGACATATTTCCATACAGTTTTTCAACATTTTTGTCGCTTTACTTGATTAAAATGGCTTTGTGATGAAAAGTGGGTTAATGGGGAGAAAGTGTCATCAAGTTAAAAAATAAATACATTTAAGAGAAACACATTAAACGCATTTAAACTGCTGGACTGAAATTTCAAACAAAAAAATGGCTGGCAGTAAACCAGAGTGTCTACAGGTGTCAGACATGTGCATTTAATGCTTTAAAAGATCTTTTCAAGATGATTTTAATAAATTTAGGTTAAGTATAACTACATGTGTAGTCTCGTGCAGAGGTGGGTTTTATGTTGGTATATGGTTTCTAGACTGAGTTACTACACTGACATCACACAGCCAGTAATATCTAATATTTATACTTACATCGTGTGCAGTAACTTGTTCATTTATTCATTTTATGTGCAATAATTTTATTTTACGTTCATGGCATATGTTGGCACTGCTTGTGTGTGTTTATGTGTAGACTATGCATGATATCTTATCCCCCCTTTATTATCTATTTATTACTTTTAGAGTTCTGTTTTATTCCGTGCATTGAATTTCATTGTATTTATTTACAGTGACAATAGAGGGAATTGAATAATGTTAATCTACATTTCACCAACAGGTGCCCAATAAGACAGTATTAGTTTCAGTGGTGGATTTAAAGAAATAAGGAATAAGGACTTCAACACAGAAGAGCTCGACTCAGTTTGACAAAAAGAACTCTAAAAGATGTATACATTAAATGAGATAAAAACGTTTGTGGCAATTGAGACCTCACAAGTACAATGTGTGGTTATTTAATGACATGTCATGCCTAATATTCATAAAATGACATTTAAGACATTTTAAAGCAGGGGTGTCAAACATACAGCCCGGGGGCCAGAACTGACCTACCAAAGGGTCCAATGCGGCCCACTAGATGACTCTGCACACCTCATATTGATGCACATGTGAAGGTTAAGACTTGCCAGGTTTCAGGAGCAAGTTAAACAGTGAGTAGATACTTTATGTAAAATGCTGCTTCAGAGGCTTTTTCCACCCTGACCAGAATACTGTGGTTGTACTCGTACTCCTCATCCTCCGCTTATCTGGGTCCGGGTCGCGGGGGCTGCAACCTCAGCAAAGAAGCCCAGACAGTCCTCTCCCCAGCCACTTCTGTCAGCTCTTCTGCGGGAACCCCGAGGCCTTCCCAGGCCAGCCAGGCGATGTAATCCCTCCAGCGTGTCCTGGGGCAGCCCCGAGGTCTCCTCCCGGTTGGACATGCCCGAAACACCTCCCAAGGGAGGCATCCGGAAGGCATCCTTACCAGATGCCCGAACCACTTCAACTGGCTCCTCTCAATGTGGAGGAGCAGCGGCTCTACTCCGAGTCCCTCCTGGATGTCCGAGCTCCTCACCCTATCTCTAAGGCTGAGCCCAGCCACCCTGCTGAGGAAACTCATTTCGGCCGCTTGTACTCGTGATCTCGTTCTTTCAGTCACTATCCAGAGCTCGTGACCAATCGAGAGCTTCACTTTCTGGCTAAGCTCCCTTTTCACCACAACGGACTGTGTGGTTGTGTTTAAAGATATTAAAACATTGTGCAAAATATTGTCAAGCAGCAGCTTCAGTACAAAAGAATCTGTATCAGACTTCTCTCTTAAAACAATGTGTGTGGGACCCTGCTGCTGAGGCACTGACAAAACTTCAGACTGTAAATAGTTTATAAGGCAGGAGACGACTTCACCTGCTTCTTCAACAGCTTTCACTTTAGTGGAAACTTATGAAAAAATTCACATGTAATTAAACAGTAGGCTGACTGAATGTGGAATAACTGAGACATACAAGTAAGTTTGCACATATTTTAGGATATCTTGGGCTGTTCATTTGTTTTGTAAATGGATGAACATTCTCACATTGTACTTCTTTACACTAAAAAAAGGGGAAACATTTGAAGGGGTTATTATTTATTTTTATTATGCAGCAGTTTTACTTGAGATCAGATTGGGCTGTATGTGGCCCCTGAACTAAGATGAGTTAAACCCCTGTTTTAAAGCCTTTTAAGTTACTGTAGCCACTCTGTAATCTGTTATTTTGGAAAAACACATTATGAAATGTGTCATGATGAGATAATTTTTAAAAAATTTTATTTCACTATTTGTGGTTATAAAAAAAAATTTGCTTATAATATTTGGATCATTTTAATATAAACCACTGTGGGGGCTCTATCAGTCTCCACCATCAGACTCATTGCACCACCTGGTGGTGTATTTTAATCCTAAGTAAAAACAACAGCCACCACCTGAGGGTGCAGCAGAGCAAAATATGATGGAGAGATAATCATATATTGGGAGCTGAGAAAGTAGAGACAGAGTGAAACCATGATCATGGACCCTCGGGAGGACAAGTGCAAACCTAACTTGATAAATTATTTTAGTGGAAGAACCCTTTAATTAGTTTTACATCCTGGTGGCTCGTTCAAAACAGATTTTGAAGTGGATGCTCTGCAGTCTTTTCAGCATGTGAAGTGTTGAACAGTGACTTTGAGGAGTCTTCTTAAGGAAAATAACAGGTACTGCTGTAGTGGTGCTGGCTGCAGATGAAAACCATGAAAACTTTACTGAAAAAAATCTAAAATATTAATCCTGTTAATTCAGAAAAACAGAGCAGATTATTTTCTAAAGTGACTGCATTACGCCTTCATAGCTGCCTATTAAACATGGCAACCAGAGGCAGTTACATCTCCTGCAGCAGTAATTACACTAAGACAGAATACAGGATATGAACTTTCGCAGGTGGTGGGAGAAATGGCCCGTGCGTCTCAGATGATCTCAGGCAGCACATGAGCACAGGAAGTCTGTCAGTCAGTCTGTCACCTCCATCAGGCCTGATGTAGCAGCAGCTGTCACACTGTGGCACAGTTAGTCACTTTCTATCAGATGCAGATAAAAGACACACAGTGCTGCTCCCTGTTAACTGCACAGCTCGTATAAAGAGATCAATAAACATTAATTTACATACAGCCATGTACAGCAGAGTATGAGTGAGCAATGCTGAGGAGCTTTGTATTTGGTTAACAGGATATCTCAAAAACTACTGAACAGACTTAAGTGACATTTGGTGGACAGTTAGGCCTTCATCCAGGGAACAAGTGATTGGCTTTGATGTGGACAGCACCACCACATGGCCATTTATAAAGCTGTTTCTATGTCCTGAAACACAAGGTCAAAAATCAAACTTTGTTTACCTGGCTTCCAGTCAACAGAAGGTTAAGGACACTACTTACTTTGCACCACTGCAAATCAGCCATAAGAAGCAGCTGATCCAACTTCAAATCCTGCTGCAGTTTGGTTCATCTGAGTGGAGCAAAACACATTTTACCAAGCATGTAGGAAAGCAGTGACGATGTCTTTTCTGCAGAAGAGAAGCAAATGTATGGACTGTTTCTCTAAATTGGCTTTATAGTACAGGCTAATAAAACTGCACAACATTTTTTTCTAACTTTTTCTTTTAACCTGTATTGAAAACAGTGATTTAAAGTCAGACATCATGGAAAGTGTCAAAAATAAAATTAAAAACTAAAGTGACTGAAACTGACCAATAAGAAAAGATGGGGAAAACAGAGAGACAGCATTTAAAATCCAATAGTAGACAAATTACAATATAGAACGTTATAATGTGGTGTGGTTGATATATTTTTCTTGGTATTGAATGTTTGAGAGATTTAATTAGATTAAAAAAAATCTATCAAAAAACTTTTAAACAGGATGATTTTGATTAACAGTACTTTCAAAAAAGAAAAAATAACAGTTTGAACTTCACAGAGTGACCAGTAGGGCCTAATTCTAAAAATATAAATTCCCAAATCTGTCCAAAACTGATATATAAAGCAAATGTACTAATTATTCAGATTCACTTTTGCAAAATGTGCATTGTTCTTCTAAGTCAGCAAATATTGACACTGTTGTCAAACACTGAATTTCCCCTCAGGGGGATTAATAAAGTCAATAAACTTAAACTTACATTAGAAGGGTGGAAGTTGTGCAAAATGTCAAAATGGATCTTGTAATCTTGTTAGAAAAACAGAATTTTTTTTTTATTTGTAAGTTCCAAGATGGTTCCCCTTTTGGTAAGATTTTCTTTTTTCTTTTTTTTTTCTTATTTATTAATTTATTCCATTAGTTAGTTAGTTAGTTATTCATCTTATTTTATTTCATTTCATTTCATTTCATTTTAATTTATTTTATTTTTATTTATTTTATTATTTTTATTTTATTTTATTTATTATTTTTTTAATTTTCATTTTTATTTTATTATTTCATTTTATTCTATTTTATTTTATTTATTATTTTATTCTATTTCATTTCAATTTATTTTATTTTATTTTATTTTATTTTTTATTCTATTTTGTTTTATTTCATAGGGTCGATGGAATTTAACATAGTTCCTGTACAGAGCATGAGACTAATGTGTTGCACAGAGAGTTGATAGTTATTGCTCATTTTTAACTCTTGTCCCTAGTTAGGCTTTTACATGTAGATCTAAAGTGTTATTAAAAATGTACAGTTTTAAACCTCATGAAACCACAATTCACTGTAAACATGGAAGGCACAATAAAATACATATACCACTATACACCAATACATTTAAAGTATTTATTTATTTATTTATTTATTTATTAAAGTACATTTTAAATTTTTAATATCTGTCCCAGTAATGAGTAACACAGGCTCTAATATAAGTGTATCTGGGTGAAACATGTAGTTTTTATTAACTGTCATAAACCTGTGGAGTCATACGGTCATATATTATATTATTATTATTATAGAGACCCAGCTGACGTGGTTTTGTTTTGCTCCATCTGGAGGGGGCGGAGCGTCCACAGTGACGTCACACCCTCCCGTCTCTCCCTCGCCCTCTCCGCCTCTCCGTCTCGTCCAGTGTCTCGAAGCCGAGAACAGAGCACCATCGAGCGGTCCGACTGGCTGGCAACCGAGGAGCTCCCACGGCAGTCATGGCGGCGCCGTTAGCCCACTTCGACGAGGACTGGCAGGATTTCAACGAGTTCAAGCCGGCCTCGGCGTCGGCCGACCAGCTGGACCAGCTCAACTCCAACGTGGGCGATCCGTCGTCGGGCCTAGACGATTTCTCAGACCTGGACAACAGTTTCTCCGGGGAGATCTGCAGCTTCAAATCCATGGAGGACCTCGTCCACGACTTCGACGAGAAGCTGACAGTGTGTTTCCGAAACTACAACACCACGACGGAGAACATTGCCCCCATTAAACCCATCACAGAGGACAACTACTTGAAAGACGACGAGTGAGTGTGACATTTATTTTATTTACGCTAACTTTTAATCTCTTAGCTAGCTAGCGTTGTTAGCCTCACCAAGCTAACCTACCGTTGATATTACAGTGAGGGGCTGTTAGCTTAGCCGCAATCAGTGTCGTTCAAAGTTTAGCCAGCTAGCAAGGGCATGTTTGTGTAAGGAGTGTGCACTTTATGTGGTATTATATCAAAATATGTTCATATGTGTCATTATTTAACTAATTGATATCATTAATAACAGGAGAAGCAGTAATATAATGCAGTGTTATAAACGACAAACACAAAGTTATATCATATTTTGACTGTTTGGTCCTTGAATGGATGAATCAAGAGTTTGTATGTGTGTGTGCGCAGAGGAGAGGGGAGGGGTCATGCCACGTTTCCACTACATGATTTCACACTAAATTAGTGTTAGCTATCAAACCACTGATCCATACACTGAATGAAAGTTGCTCCCTGCACACTTGCTCTTTACCCTGTGTTTAAATCACCTTCATTATATGACACACAAAAATTTGACTTCACCTTTAGGATCCCTGCAGCTCCTCTCACAGCAAACACACACAACATGTCACGTTTCATACAATAACACTGAAAGGTTGCCCTGTCAGAGTCTGTTCCCACAGCCTCTACAGCCCCTCTTATCACAGCCGGAGGTCCTCAGCAGTTGTTGTATCTCACAGACACTCAAATGTCACAACTGCACATTCACATGACAACATGTTATTACTTCCCAGCAGTTAGCCACATTAATCCCACACCGAGCACAGACTTCACTGTGACTACAGAGCTGTGTGGGTTGTGTATCGCCCTCCTGTTGCCTTCTGCTTTCCTCTGCATGTACCATTGCGACATTAGTGATATTGTTAGATCTAATCACAGAAGCTTCCCCTTCTCTACCGATAGGGAAGTTATTCATCTCTTTTTGAAAGTGTTGCTTGGACCTGACTGATCTAGGACATGACTGTTAAGTTTGGGACTCTATCAGCTCAGACAGACGAAGACAACTATCATGTATTGAGAGCTTTGCTTACATAACTTTTACATTAACTGGGTTGAAGAGTAGTGCCAAGTGCACAATTTTTGGAAGCATAATGATGACAGAAGCCAGCTAAAATGTCAAGTATTTGAAAAATCAATGGTTTAAGGCTGCGACGAATGGTCTTTTTTATTTTTTGCCACAGAGCAGCAACATATAGTCGATATATTTATTTGGCGAATGGCAGAAAATGAATCGGCAACTGATTTTAAAACAGGGGTGTCGATAATTGATCAGTCGGTTCAAACATTCATCTATCAAAAATGCTGAATTTCTCAAGTGCAGCTTATACAATGCTGCTTTTCCTATTTGTTGTCTATATAAGGGGTTTAACTAAGGTACAAAATTAGCAACACCCACCAGCCAAATGCAGGTAAATATTCAAGTGGCTGATAGATTTGCTTCACTCACCAGTCAAAAAGTAATCTATGGAGTGGCTGGTATAATTTGAACATTCATTAGCCATTTGGCCAGTGGACAAAAAGCTGGGTATAATAGTGCACAATATTCATGGTTCTGTTTCGGGTTTAAAGTTTGGTACATTTCTGAATAATCAAAAATAATATAACAATAATGATGATTATTCAATAGTGGATCATTGGCCTTTATTCTTACTGTTAAGGCACTCAAATATTGGCATGCTGTCAATAAGAAATGAATAACAAAAATAAACATCGCAGAATATAATGCTCCATTGTAAAGCTCCTAGCTCTTGACAATACCTGAAACCTGTCTACCCAGGCTAAGACAACGAGCAGCTGACAGACTACACCTGGTGCACTGCCAGAACCTTCCTGGTAAAACTTGTGCTCCAGAATTTTACTTCTGCACATGCCAGTGATAGGCATAAATTGATGTTTTTGACAGTAATTTTTTGGGGGCACAGAACCGAGAAAGCTACATACCAAATTGAACATCCTGTACCGAATGCTTCAGGACAAATACACGGCATACCGTTACACCTCTAGTTTATACTATAGTTTTTTCTTCCTCCAAATAGTTGTAAACTGAATATCTTTGGGTTGGACGATTTAGGACATTTAAAAATTTCATTCTGGACCCAGCTGGTCACTTGGACATGGGAACTGAAGACTCAGACAAGACCTTGGAGCTTGGACCTTAGGTTTTTATTTGGACATTTTATTACTGAACTGCAACTTAGCCACACACGTACACACAGTGACAGTCATAGAAGAGAGCTTGTCTCAGCAAAGCAGTAACAATCCTGCACTTAAAAGGTAACTTAAGTGTTTTTCAATGTTTTTTTTTTGTTTTTTTTTTACATGTTTTTGTGTCTTAGTGACTAAAAGGAACACCACTTTTTAAAATTGATCCAGTATTGCAGCTGGCATCCGTATTACAGGCTTGGTGCACGTTTGCATCATCAGTTAACGTTCACTAAAAGTGTTTGGTTTTGCCACTGACGGGCTCAGCGGACTTCACTCAGAGGCAATAGCAACTAGTTAAAACTCACAAAAGCTGTCTTGGTTTGTCTTTTCACTGTTCCAACAATCACCAACTATGGTTTGGTTTATATAAACCTTCCATTCACCCACTTAGATGTGAAAATATGTAGGCTGTGTACACACTAAAATTATTGTTTATTTAAATGGCATCTGTTGGGTTTGGCGATAGTGATTATGGGGCTGTTTCTGGTGTAACAAAAAAGGTCTGTCTCTGTAAGGATCCTTTCCATAATGTTGCGACACTTTTAATAACAATCTGAGCCTGTCAGTGGCAAAAACAAACACTTCTAGTGGATGTAAATTGAGGGTGCGCAGAAACCTTGAGTGGTTACATTACAGCTTGTGTTGTTGCTGCTGGCTGCAGCGCTCTCCTTCAATACTGGGCCAGTTTCAAAAATTGTTGTTCCCATTAGTCACTCAGACACAACAACAGGTCGGCAAATACAGAGGTTTCCTTTTAATAGTGCTCTAAATGTTAAGGGGGGGATGTAGGAGAGCTGGTCAGACAGGGTGAGAAGCATCTATGGTTGTTGTAGGTAAAGACACAGCGGAAGGAGGGAACAGAATAATTGGACAGCAGCCTGGCGAAGCCCAAAGAGCAGCGCCAAGCTCAGTGAGAGTCTTTTCTGGATGACTGCACTTTTGCAGGACGTGCCTAGCCGCTTAACAAGTTCTCCAGAAAGACCGTGGCTGAGACGAACAACGGGGATGACAGGGAGGAAATGTGTGTGTGTGTGGGTGTGAATGAAGAAAGGGAAATGCGTTTGTTTTAAAGCCAAGTTGTGCATGTGGATTATACATACGCAACAGAAAACAACATCCACATGATATATTCACGCAAGTGAATCAGACAAATTGGCAGCATCGAAGTAGAAACGAGGAAATTGGTCCCCTGAAATCTAGACTGGCCTCGTTTTGAAATGTAAATGCTCTCAGTGAAGCTAATCGTGTATTTTGGCATGCACTCACGTGCCCGGCACAGTGTCATTGCTTGAGGCAAAAAAAATGCATCCTGCCAGCCTTTGCCCTATTTAGAGCAACCCCTCAGTCCCCCGCTCCCCAAGCTGTGCACAAGCACTTCAGGGGGAAACATGCAAGTTATGTAAACACTTGTCCGTTTGTGTGTGTGTACGTGTGTGTGAGGAAGAGGGTATGACGATGCAGAGCCACTCTGACACATGGGTTCACAGCATCCATCCTCTCCGCTCGCAGCAGTCACCAGGAATAAAAACACAGTGACTTGCACGTGCAGTTAAATTTAATATTCTGCAGAGACTTGATTATCTGTCATTGCGTTTGAAAACATGCACATGCACACAACTGTTCCACATGAAGGGGCAGTTTATTATATTGTTACAAAATATATATCCTTTTAATTAAGTCTCCAACAAATCATGAATAACATAAAATGAATCAGGATGTATTAAATCATTCTGACCCATAATCATCTGGTCAATCCTTACCTGAATAACTACGCACAAGTCGAGTATGATATTTAGAGCTTAACAAACACTGTGTTTTGAGCTGGAACATTTGGCACCGAAATAATTCAGATTTTTTACATTGTGTGCATACATACTTGCACATATTTTGCAACAGCCCCTCAAATCCGGATGGATTTCACAGTCGAACAGTAAACTTGTTTGTCTAACAGACTCGGCGCCACCATCTGCTCAGCAGTGATAGCTTCTCTGCCAACGTGCGTGCTGCAGAGTATTGTAAACATTCAACAGTCTGCTGGTGTAATGATGACACTGTGTCTGAATCAGCCGATATTATAGCAGACTTGTAAAAAAGACTCTACTGATCTGAACACACAGTTTTCACAGAGATGAATTCCATATGGGCCGCCGAAAACATTGCGGACCTTTGCTTTTAGGTTGAGCCACCGTATGTGCGTCAGCGTTTCTCACCAGGGAATGTTTACTGAGGGAAGATGACGTGTGATTAAGGAGTTGTTACATTCGTCATTGGTTTTAAGGAGCTGATTTGAGATGCAGCAGCAGGAACGCAGTGAAGTGGTAAGGGGGTGGTCAGAGGACAGGACATGACACTGCCAAGTAATGCTGTGTCACAGTAAAAAGAGAAGGAAACAGAGTTTGTCTTATCTGTGGCGAAATGAAAATGTCTTACTTAAGCCCCTTTTCCACAAGACAAAAAAACAAACTAACACCCACCAACTTTTGCCTTTAGTGGGAAAGGTTATAATCGATATTCTTCCCGCGAAAATTGACTCTGCAGCAGTGGCGGCTGCTGGACTTTCAAACAGGGGAAGCTCACTTTAAGTTTACAACATAAAATCTGTCATATTGTAGCGAGGCAGTAACTTATAAAAGCAACATTTAATTGAAGCCATTTTCCAACCACCCTCATGCTATAGAACCACAGCAAAACACACCTCAAAGATTTTCAGATGGTTTAAACACCTGAACTGTGTACAGACGGTGAAAATGAGCTATATTGCTGATGGAAATAACGAACTCCAGACGGCACTCTGTCAGAAGACTACACTCCAATATCTGCATGGGACTGAGCTCGAAATGCGACGATGCCGATGTGTATTTCCAAAGCGCTGTCAATCACAAAGGGGTTCAGCCTTTTAGACAATTCCTCCAATCATCATGCATACACCGAGCGTCCTCTCCCGCCTACCACTCCATTAGGTCCCAGGGAAGCTGAGCCTCCCAGGAAGTGACGATTTTGTCGCATTTATCCAATGACTGTCTCGCTATGCTGCATGAAAAAAATGCTTGGAGGCTCCGCGTCCACCGTGCTGACACGAGAATGTATGACAGGGAGGTCGCGTTTGAAAACTGGTGATGAACAGCTGGCGTTTGAACGCATCCTAGTGCATGTTTAATGCAATGTAAATTCTTATTTTAATGTAAATTCAGTAGTGCATATTTGATCATTTCTTCTATGATGCTTTGTCAGCATCAGCTAATAAGATAACAGCCTGTTCATCTCCCCTCAGTCATTTTTTTGCAGCAGTAAAAAGTATCTAGTGGACTAAAAGTAAATAATTATGTTATTCTAGTAGGCTACTTTAAGTTTAATTTGTATTTTTTGACAATAATAACTTCTATAATAAAAAAAGATATTTACACACAAAAATATTGCGAAACTATGCAGTTTGTTTGGTGCTGTGGTTTGGGTTTTACGTGACAACACATGACCACAAAACGTAGGCTATTTCAGCTTTTCTTTTATTCATCTTACATTGACTGAGTCGGGGTCACTCTTATGGACTTGGGTCAGGTTCAGACAGAAATATGTGACCCAAGCTGCATGTCAATATAAACATGACACCTGGTTGGACATGCAGATTTTTCCAGAGCAACTGTTAGTAACTTTTGCTTTTCTTTCTCATCTCAGCCACAAACTTCTTCCATCTTTGTCCAGGCAGTGCTCAAAAATCGTTCTGAAAAAGTCAGCACTGAGTTTGAAAGAGAGGCTGAATAAGTAACATATAAAAAGAAGCAGCCACCGTAACATTTTAACTGGCTTCCACGCTGCTTTCTAACTAACCCTGTTTTCTGCTGCGCTCATGACGTCAAACATGACACACCAGTAAAGAAACAGAAAGGCATACTCATCTCCTGATAGTGGGAAAAGAGTCTGTCACTTATTTATAGTTGGTTTCCTATGTTTATAAAACCTGCATACATGTGCTGATTTGGGGCGGAAAGGGTGTTAAATTCTGTCCCTTAGTCACAACATTATTCTGTTTACTCTTCATTCTTAATTAAATCATGAACTCCTCTGTCTTTCCTCCAGGGTCTGGAACGCTCTGACAGATAATTATGGCAACGTGATGGCTGTGGACTGGAAGACATCGCACACTCGCTCCCTACACCTGCCCACCCTCAACATCACAGAGCATGAGGTACCACTGAGACACACACGCACGCACACACACAGTCCTTTAGCGTAACATTTCAAGCACACAGTAAAATGCACAGGCTCCATTTCCATAATCCTGCGCTGCTTTTAAACCTCGCAGAAGAGAAGCCAAGATACAAATGTAAGCATTTTGCTCCCCTGCCTTCAATCTGCTTAACCACCTGTTTGTTGTCTCATCCAAGTTGCATCTCGCTCTGTCTTTCTCGTCCTCCTAAATCTCTGCCCTCCTTTCCCCGATGGACAGAAGTTGGATAACCAGTCTCTGGATCTGTCTGACGATGAGGAGCTCAGGGAGCAGATGGATATGCACTCGATCATCGTGTCCTGCATCAACGATGAGCCGCTCTTCACAGCCGAGCAGGTAACACGCTCGCAGTTGCATGTGTTGCTGTGTGTCTGTCATAAGGAAAACTCGTGAGGGCTGAGAACATTTCGGCTTCTTGGGGAGGTGGCATGAATCAAATGTGAATAAATATGCACTGCAGTTTCCTGTATTTGGGGCCTTTCCTATCTTAGGTTGGGTTCCAAACTCGGTACTTTTAAGGACAATGAATAAATTATGTCGGCACTACCAAGTACCAGCTCACGTTAAATCCATCACTGCCACATATCAGTACCTGAGAGCGCATCTGGATGAGAACGCTGGGTTTAGACAAGAGACAGAAGTGGCCGAGGTGCCCCAAAGCCTGGAAGCTGGCCACGGAGCTCAGAGGCTGGCAACAGAGCTCTGTGGAGCTGCTTGGTTCAACTTCACACAGGAGGCGGAGGCACCCTAAAGCCAGGAAGCTGCTCCATCGACTAGTGGGCCAAAACTGCAACCAGTCTGCCGCGAGTTTTGGCGTCTGGTCTGTTTTCTTATCAGTATCATTTTAGCAATAGCCTGTTGTCACTGCTAGACGGGCAGACACACTCACAAATAGAGACAGATTAGCTCTGTGTGTGATTAGAAAAGTCACCCCTGCAAAAATTTAAATTTTTGTTATTACAGAAAAAAGGTATTGTTTGGTACCAGTACCTAATTACAGGTAGCGTACGGTTATTGGTTCAAATGTAGATGGTACCCAACCCTATTTGTATCTGCAACACACTTGCATAATATGCAAATTTCTGGTTCATGTTAAAACAGATATGGCCTAAAGAAGTTGCTTCCTTTTCTTTTCTTCTGGCCTAATAATTACTATGAAGTCCAGCCTGTTTGTTCAGTTATGTTTTTCAGTTGTGTTTCAGCTCAGTTTTTTTGTGTTTGCATGCATACACACACAGATGTCAGGTTGTGGATGGGATATTTCTTCCTGGGACGCTTTTATAAACCATTTGCAAATGTCATGATGAGCTGAAATAGCTCTCAGAGAGGCAAACTACAAACAGACTGAAGTGAGCAGAACCAAAATAGCATCCTGGAAAAATGGATTTACTGCTCCCAGTTCGCTGGTTATTTTTCGTATGAGGGACTTGAAGTTGTTGCATCTCTAAACATCTAATAATGTAACAACTCACAGCAGACTCCTGCAGTCGTTCTGACACTCTTCATGTGTCTTACACAAACACCAGCTGTGGTGAGACATGCAGGTCAGACTGGACCAGTGTTAATCTTGTTTTTAAAGGGACAGTTCACTCCAAAATGAAAAGCACAGACCTTGATGTATGCATTTTCAATGGGGAACTATTTTCTTTCTATTAAACTATACCAGCCAACAATATCACCGTGCAGAAGGAAGCATGCATCTACTCATGGATGATAGGCTCATGCTCGTGACAGAATGAGATGTAAACTTTACTGGCGTCCTCCTTGGCTGAGCTGTAACGTTAGCTAGCTCAGTGGTGCTAGGTGAGCTAGCAGTAGATGCATGCTTCCTTCTGCGCGGTGATACAGTTGGTGGGTTTAGTTTGGTAGAAAGAAACTACATGAAACTGCTCACAACAAGGTCTGTGGATTATCTTGAGTAACCAGGTCATGATTTCTGTAAAGAGAGATTGATGTTGAGTTTTTCAAATGTATTTTTTTGGCACCTTGAGCACCACAAGCTGAGTGCCATCTAGTTCCATTATATTGGAGAGAAGGCAGACATCTCTACAGCTGATATCTCCAACACTCTCACATCTTTGTGATTTGGGGGTGAACTGTCCCTTTAAATATAATTTTCTCTTGCTGGTAAGCTTGAACTTTAACAGGCAATAATATACAGGAAAACACACCTTCAGGCTGTAAATATCAGTGTGTGAACTACAGCTGAGAAATAACAAACCTCATAAAACACAGAGAGCGATCACACAGTCACATTACATCCTTATGTAAACCTATAAACGACAAATTTACGACATATAAAAATCTAAAACACACTACCATACCCGTGTGAACATATTTGTGTGTCTATTTTGGGGGGTGTCGTTTAGGTGATAGAGGAGATAGAGGAGATGATGCAGGAGTCTCCAGACCCAGAGGACGACGAGAGCCCCTCGCAGTCTGACCTGTCCATGCTCTCTCAGGACCTCCACACCCTGAAACGCTCCAGCTCCAACACCAGCTACGAGGACCGTGAGTATTGTTGTGTACATTAACAAGATAAGAATAAATGTTTAAGTGTTTGTGCTCATCCCTTTTTCACACTCTGCTGCCATTTGACAGTTATCTAAACCACTCAGTGAAGTGTAATAGGTCGCGCTGTCTGGTACACGAAGAAACGGCTACACTCATATGCACTAACGTTCTTACGTAATGTGTAACAAATGCAAACCGACAGCAATTACGCTGTTCTTACATGTTATATAATCAACAGCATATATTTGGCTTGAACACTGTTTCTATTGCCACACTGGTGCAGAATGAGCAGTCGCACCAAGTTTGCCTTAAGGCTAAAGATTTTGTTTTAGATATCTCCTTATATTAACGTATTTTTTCCCTACATTCATGTCACTTCCACCTTTGATTCGTTGCACATAGAGGAGATTTTCACACATGCTTTAAAGGGTATGCTTACCCTTTAAAGCATGTGTGAAAAATTTCTGTGTCTAAGTGACTAATAGGAACAACAATTTCTGAATCTGGTCCAGCTGCAAAACAGGCTGCAGTGCATTGGGGCATTTGTACATCATCAATTGACTTCCTTTAAATGTGCTTGTTTTTGCCACTGACAGGATCAGATTATCATTCTAAGTGTGGAAAGGATCCATACAGAGATAGAAGTAAGAGTAAGATCCTTTTTGTTCAACCAGAAACAGCCATTAAATCGCCATCGCCAAACCCACCACTCCATTTTAATAAACAGTAATTATATCATCATAAAAAACACGACAGAAACAAAATAAAACTCACAAAAGCCGCCTTTGTTAATCTTTCCACTGTTCCAACAATCATCAACTGTGGTTTGGCTAAAATAAACTTTTAATTCACCCAGTAAGATTTGAAAATATGCTTGCTTTATACACGCTAAAATGACTATTTATTTAAATCTGGTGATTGGTTTGGTGATTCAGTTCAATTCAAAACACTTAATTTAAAAGGCCCATAGAGTAGCACAACAACACATACAGACAATTGACAAGACAACACAGACAATTAAAAGGATGCTACATGAGATGCATTAAAGTGCTGGAAGTGCTTAAGTCCATGAAAAATACTATAAGTCAATATAAAGTGCGTGGTGGTGGTGGGGGGGCAATGGTGTGGATACTGAATCAGTGGGGTTGGGAGTTCAGGAGCTGGACAGCCCTGGGAACAAAGCTTGTCTTTCTCCTCTGAGTCCTGCAGCCTGGGCAGCGAAGTCTGCGTCCTGAGGGGAGCCACTCAAACACCGGGAACAGGACATGAGAGGGCTCCTGAAGGATTATGAGGATAGTGCTTTTAGGGCAGTTTGTGGTTTAACAAAAAGGATCTTACTCTTTAAGAAAAAGTCTATCTCTGTAGGGATCCTGTGCATAATGTTTTCAGACACTTGGAATAACAATCTCAGCCTGTCCGTGGAAGAAACAAGCACTTTTAGTGGACGTAAATTAAAGTGGGTGGTTTAAATTGTGCCTGTGTAGCTGTCTCGCTTAATACTGGATCAATTTCAAAAACTGTTGATCCCATTAGTCTTAGACACATAATGTGTCTTAAATCGTGTACTTCTGTACTTACACTTAATATTTTGAGTGCATAAGTGCGTTCACACTGAGAAGTATGGAAAAATGCAGTGCACTGTGAGTACCCGGATGGTGCACTCAAAACAGTCAAGAAGTTAAGTGTGGAACTATGGACACTTCTCACCCTCAATGGTCGCCATCTTGGATACGTAGCAGAAGGGGAGGGACCACTTTTCAAACTGGTAATGGAGGCCGAGGACTGTGCGACTGTGAACGTCGCTGCATTGTACAAATATACGTGTTTTTTGCAGTAAGCACCACTATACTGTTGTCGGGTATAAGCCAGCAGTATGTTTATTGGGTTAATTTAGCAGTCTGTAATGATTTGGTACCGCGAACGATAACGCGAATGCTAGTTTGCTAACTAGCTAATTTGCTGTTGTCATTTCTGGTGAGTGCACAACGGCCGTGTTTGGTTTGAGACACTAACCTGTTGAAATTCACACACTATGCCAATGAGAACATAGTGCACATAGTATACTACATGGAAGTGTACTAACGGAAGTATGTGATTTGAGACACAGCGAGAGCAACATGGGAAAGTAGGGTTCAGGTTGAAAAATATCAAACTTACCCATATCTAAGCATCAGAGGCCACTACTTAAATGTGATTATGAATGTTCAACATTGTAATATTGCTTGTTCCAGAAATTCATACACACAACAAGTACATAAATATACTACGTCCTAATCTATGTACACCCTATCCTCAGGGCTGCGTCAGCTGTCTGTGTCCGAGCTGACCGAGACTCTGGAGGAAGTGGAAACGGCAATTCGCCGCTACAGTGAAGAGCTGATCCAGGCTCTGGCCCTGCGAGACGAACTGGACTATGAGAAGGAGGTACTTTGATTTTGATCCTCTTAACTGCATCGGCTCAGCATCACAACAACGAGGCGACAACATAAACTGCATGTGGGTCTGTTGAGATATTATGAAGCTAAGAACCAGTCCAAAACTGACCCAGTTATTAACAGCATTATGCCGTCTGTACAGTCAGAATCAGTCAGACAGTTCCACAGTAATGCTTGGTTGTAAGGAAGCGTTTAAATGTTAGATTTAATTTGAAGATAACATGGCCATTTGAATGTCTGTTGTGTGCGCTCACAGTGTTGTGTAGGCTGGTGAGAGGTCAGTGAATTGCCGGCAGCTTTTCTTTTACATTGTAATTTACTTCAGTGTCATGACGGTGTATTTTTAGCAGCAGATAAAAATAGATTTGTCAAACAGCATTACATCCATCAAGAAGGAATTAAAAAAATAATTTGCAGTTTGATCTTGAAACGCACATAAATTAAGGACTTCTGTTTGAATAAAAAACAGGTGAAGAACAGCTTCATCTCGCTGTTGATCGACGTGCAGAACAGACAGAAGGAGCACCGCGAGCTGCTGAGGAAGAAGAAGAAAATCAGAAGTACGACGACAACCGGGCCCAACGGCCAGAGGACAGCCAGCACGCACATACCAGGCACGGTGAGTCATGTGGTGACACGGTGTGTGAGGCATCAACAAAGACAAAAACATATGCCCTGAATGCATGATTACAATGACGATCAGTGGAATAGACACGCAGCCACACACTTCTTCTTCAGAGTATCAGCAGCATGATGCATGAGCTGACAGTTTGCGTGGGAGAGCTGCTTTCACTCGAGCACCAAGACTTTCCTTCTTTCCCTTTAATACAGAAACCGCCTTATCTCTCTTTACTCTCTTTTTCCTTCCTTCCTCTCGCTCCTTGTAGCTCCTCACTCTGGAGGGACTCTCCAATGTCATTCAAAATGGCCTCCGTCAAACTTTTGGCAACACTGGAGGGGACAAACAGGTGCTCCTGCTCTTTCTTTCAACACAACGTGTTTTTTCTTTGCAGACATTTTTCTGTCCTCTTCTTTTTTTCCTTTTTACCACTTTACAGCTTCTGCTGGAGTTTGATGTCATATATTCCATCATTGACTTCATCTGTTTTCTCTTTGTGGTTGATTTTAATTGTCGGTTTTGCTTTACTTAGTCATGATTTACCTTTTTTGATAACTTGATTTCTTTCTTCAGTTGTCATTTTATTTATTTTATTTCATCACTTGTCATATTTTGCAGTTTTTACTGTGTTGTCATTTTGTTGTTCCTTTGTTTGAAGTCAAAAGGACACTATTGCATAACCACTGTCTCTTTAGCTCACATCAGAAAACATTTACTTCATTGAAGGAGCTGTGTGTAGGATTTAGTGACATCTAGTTGTGAGGTTGGAGATTGCAACCAACTGAATGGAAGTATAATTCTGACAATATATCCCCCTAAATCCTACACACTGCTCCTCTAAGTCATTAAGGGTTGAAACAAGCCTGTACTTGTTCATATGTTGACCGTCATGACACTGACATTATATCACCCTCTAACACTTGAGCCTTTTGTGTTTAAGATTAAATTAAAACATTGTACACATAAAAATCTATGTTGTCACTTTAACCGTCCACCTGCATGTGTAACAGTATTCTTCTGTTGTGTCTTACATGATGTTCCTTTTTTCAGTACTTGACCACAGTAATCCCATATGAGAAGAAAGCCGGCTCCCCGGCAGTAGAAGACCTCCAGATTCTCACAAAGAGTGAGTGTATTGACCCCTCATTACAATATACACACCAACTGGACCATAATGACAAATTAAATGTGGTCGTCTCCACAGCTTGTTGGTCTTAAAAACAGTTTTCTGTGTTTTGTTTTAGTGCATGTTATGTATTCAAAATGTAATGAGCTGCTCTGTCCTTGTTAGTCCTCCACGCCATGAGGGACGACAGTGAGAAGGTACCCGCTCTGCTAACAGACTACATTCTCAAAGGTAAACACGCAGCACATCCTCAGTCAGTTTTAACTGCTTCCTGTGAGTGGGGTAGAAATCTGAGTCAGTCATATTAAGTTCGCTCATTGCAGTAATGAAAAGTGTTCCAATAGTCTTTTTCCATAGACTGTATATAAAGATGGACGACACGTCTTCACTTTCTCCCACTATTCAAAAATGAAGCCAAAATATTCTGTCATTTGGAGCCAGAGTCAGGACAGTAGCGATCTCCATGGTATTGAGTTCCAGCCCATACACCTGTCCAACCAATCATGAGCAAAGCCATTGATAGCAAGCACACTGATTGGCACGTTCAGCCGTCAATAATGACTTCCTGTTCATAGCATCAAATAAATAGTTATACCCAAATTTATCAGAAAAACGAACACTTGAACAAACACCAGTCTGATAGAAACTACCTTCAATGACAGATGCCGTATATTGCAGCCAGCTACCTGGGAGCGATTGAGGTGTTTTGGCTTCACTGTCATGTCGTCTGTCTTTGTTATACAGTCTGTGATTTAGAGGTGTGTGTCAGGGGCAGGTGACTTTTGTTTGTGTCTGTTCCACCTGACATTCAGACATCCTGCCCCCTGTTGTTTAAAATAAGAGATGCAAAATTCACTTCTCCATTTTCAGGGAAGCTGACAGTAGAAAAAAAAGATGCCACATAGAAAAGTAGCACTCAGCACAAACATTAATTAAAGGGAGGGGAGAAATGCTTTCCTTGCCACCCTTCACTGTTGACCTGTACCTTCCTTGTCTTTCGTCTGTGCTGCATTGTCCTCTGGGTAGCTCTGGTATGAGAGCAGTGGAAACTTGAGGTTTGTGAGGCACTGACACATTAACACAGATTCTTCACCTTCAGCCTTCTCTTCAGAGCCCTGTCAAACGCCCTGCTCTCTTTCTCACCTCTTTGTAGTTTCACTTTCTTTCCCCCCTCAAAGCAGCAGCCTTCCCTCACTCACTCTTCGCTGTAGTGCCTCTCGTGCTGTGCGGTGCTTGTGGCTGCACTACACTTACCCTGAAACACATTAATACACCCATGCATATAACTCCCCTTTTCTGCGAGCTTGTAGTAGCAGCTGTTCTCGTGTCTGCTTCTCACTTGTTTCTTCTCTTTACTCACCCCACATTTTTCCCCGTGGTAGTCACTCTTCCATAGTTTCACAGCTCTCCTTAATGTGCCACAGCGGGTATCAAAGCAGCACTGATCATACTCTGATTTTATCTTGTCTCCGCAGTGCTTTGTCCCACGTAGAGCCAAAGGCTAGGCTCCTGTTTCCAGAACCAGTCGTCGGACCATCAGAAGAAAGTTCTGGTAATCTGGAAGAACCCAGACAATGGATTCAAAAATCTTCCTTCCTCGTCATTTTTCAACATAGACTTTCTTTCCTTGTGGCTTTTTTTTTACTCTGCCACTGTTGTTGTTCCTAAGATTTTAACTCTAGCTATAACTCCTCAGTCTGTATAGTTCTTTTCATATGTAGTGTTTTAACTTTTTAATGCCTGAGTGCTACAACCCTGTATATCCTGACTGCATGATGACTCGTCTATGGATGCCGGTAATCAGTATTAGTCCGAACACCTCACTTCCTGATTGGCTCTCGAATGGAGAAGTGTCAGGTGTGTTTTTTTTTTTAATTCCACAGGCTTTATCAGCAGCAGGCCTGTGAGAGAGACGCAGTCTGTTTTGTAAATCGAATGCATTTGCATCCGCGTAGTTCATGCCTGACGGGGAAAACAAATCCTGGCAGAATCTGTGAATATCTAAGTGCCAGGCTTGTCGTGGTGTCGAGCGTAAATCCTGTTTGTCCTGTATGGAAACCTTCGCTTTAACGGCATTAGTTGAATGATTGCGTTTAATATTTCGGGGTTGATAACTCTGCTTGCTAAGGATCAAAGAGCAAACCCTTTAATTTTACAATCCAAAATCAAGATCCACCCGTCTCTGCATGTTGATTTTGGGTTTATGCTCGGTTTTGGCTGTTAGATGAATGTTCAGAATGAAATATTTTGTATACGATTAAGAGAAATTGCACAGTTTGGGGAACTTTTTACTTTTTGAAAAAGGGAAAAGAAAACATGAAACGACTTGAGAAAGTACACGCTGGATGAACAAACATGTAAAGCATATTTTTGGAGATGGAATAGTTTTTAGTGAGATTAGAAACTTGCCAGTAGCCACCTTTTTGTGACCACGTTGCTACACCATTTTGTAAATGCTGTCCATTGACCTCTGAGCCCTCGAGTAGTGACCGCCACCCCCAACAACTTTATCACGTCCCCAGGAGTCGTCATTACATGAGTCTGAAAATACCTCGTATAACATTATTGCATTAGTAGAAAATGACGGAACTGGTCGTATCATTAAGATAAATAGTGTAGATTGAGATTATGTTAGCTTTGATAAATGTGTAGTTAAGCTTCTGTTACAACCTGTGGGGTTTTATCTATCTGTTAACCCTTTAACTGTTGTGTAAAGTTTGTGGTAGCGCTTTAGTCTGTCAGTGATCTGGTCATGTAGTAGAGGAATATGTGGTGGATGTACTTAAGAGTACGTACCACTAGATTAGTGTTAAATGAGGCTTAGAAGCTTTAGCTAGTGGTGCCAAAACACGTCAACATGAGGATTTGTTGTCATCCATCTATTTACCTTATGAGACATATGAGAACTTAAACAACCTTAAAGGGGTGCTCCACTGATTTTACACATCTCAATTTAGACGTCATACAGAGGACTACTCAACTACTCAGCCCTGCAATATTATGTTTTGTGACACTGAATGGATTCTCTTAAAGCACTGTATCAATTTTTACTTAATAATTTACGTGCAAAGAGTTGCGGCAGTGGTTCATTTTTATGTTCTGATCTTCAACGATTTGACTCTTATATTTCAACATAACAACGTAGCACTTGTGTAAAAACAAATAACGGGCCAGTGAAACAGGCAGCATCATAAAGGACGAACTGCAAGCTCCTAAAATTAGATTTAAAAAAAAAGCTGTGTACCACCCATAGCAATATGTTGAATCGTTTAACGGTTAAAGGTAGAGAATGTTTTTGACAGGTTATGCATTTCGGTATATAGTTTAATTTAGCAGTTTTTCAGTTTACTTTCTTGTGCACCACCCAGGACTGTTGGTAGCTAGCTAGTGGGGCAGCTCATTTGACGATTACCGCTAGTAATGCCTTCCTGACCCAAGAGCATTACTGTGGAAACATTGCACCCACCCTTCAGTTTCCCCCAAGGTCGCCCTGTTGATTAACAACGGTACATTGTTAACTATGTTATCACTGTTTAGCTCCGTTAGCACCATTAGCTGTGTTAGCAGAGCTAGTGGTGCTAGCTTAGTTAACAGTGCTAAAGGAGGTTTGCAGCTCAAAAAGAAGCCACGTATTCACCAGAGTGACCTGGGAGGAGACCAAAGGGTGGCAACCATGTTTCTGCAGCAGTGCACAGGATAGCGTTACCAGCGGTGCCACTAGCTAGCTCCCACCAGACCCAGGTTATGCCCAGTTCAGTGCAGCCATGGCTAGCTAACAGTAGAGACCAAACGGTCGGTAGTGGGCACTGTGTTTCTACATGTTAATGCAGCTAGCCAGCTGTCAGTCAACAAAGCCAAAAGAAAAGAAAAGGCAAAACATTTATAAAACAAAACATTTCTCCACCTCTAAATGGATAGCACTTGTGGCCCTAACCCTCTCTGGGTCAGTGGAGTGTTGGACTAAAAGTAAAGGTCTTTTGTATTTCAAGTTTTTATCTTAGAAATTAACTGGTTAGTTACCGATTACTGGGTGTCTGGCTAAAGCAAAATTAACCAGAACCGACTTCCCTACCTTGTATCATATCATATGTATTTTATCACCGGATTGTGAATACACTCCTAAAACAGTTGTTTAATGTCGTCTGTAGTTCCGGAGAGATTTTGTCAAAGATGAGGAAGTAACCCTAAGGATGTCACAGGGGTCATCTTGGCCTGACTACAAATTTATAGCAGAAAGCTTATGTTACAAACTCAAGGCATTGAGTTTAAAAGATGTGTTTGTTCACCCAAATGAAAATACTCTATTGAGTTGCATTATGGGAATTGTAGGACCCAGTGTTTTTGGAGCTAAAACTCAGGTAGCTCAGCCTGTTGTTTTTTTTTTTTTTAATGTGTCCTTTGCAAGTCTCCCAACACATCATTGCAATGCAATATGAAATCACTGTAGCACCCCTTTAAAAAAGCGTACCACCAATCTAACACTGCATATCTGTTGGTACACTGATGTTCAGATCACCAGCGACTACAGGTGCACCACACACTGTCGGATCAGGTCTAGTCTAGCTCTCAGGTACGATCATCAGTGTTTCAAAATCTCTTTCTGAAAGGTACTGACATTCCTGAGTCTTTGTATGTTTCTGGAAATTTTTTATCAGCTAGACTCGCTGCACTTTTCACAAATTTCTCTAAATACCTTGACGAGCCAGTGGAGGTCATCACGGCAGCCTCTTGTACTAAACCAGGGTAGCATTACAGATGTTGATTACACCGTGATTTGTTGAAACACAAGTTAATGCTTTAAGGCCTAGACTCCGCTTAGTAGTAACAGTAGTAGGTGTAGCTAGCAGTTAAACAGCACAGTAGCATCCGCTTGGTGTAGCAGTCTAGTGACGATAGCGTAGATGCAGTTGTAACATCCAGCGACAAACTTTAATGTGAGAAAGTGAAACTTGTACGAAGGAATTTAATTTCACGGGTTAAACATAAGCATGTTTTTGGTGCATGTGGCCAGAAGAAAAGGACATAGGAAGATGACAAGGGGTGTGATAAAGTTAATGGATGTTGGGGAAGATTGCACAAAGTTTCTTAAATTTAAGGGGTCTGTTTTATTCTTTTGTAAAGGAAGACAGAAGCTTGTAGTGCTATATTTAACTATTTATATGTAACTGTTGTTTCTACTGCTGCCAGCTTGCAAACATTCACAATCTAGCATGTGCTACATGCACTTTACTGCTGCAAACATTTCTAATAATGATCAATTTGTTTACAGACGTATAAATATCACACTAAAGGGACATGTGCATGTTGCAGTGGAATGCAGAAGAACTTAAATAAGCATTAAATTAACCTGTTAAGAAGTTATCAAAAAGGGTTAAACATCAAATGGCTTGTGGCCATTTAAAGGAAAAAAAAATTCCTAAATTGATCCTAATCTTACAAAAGCTTAAATAAAATCTGTTTAGTTTTATAATGAAATGGCAGTCAGCATGGAAGGATTCGGATCTCGTCTCAGGCCAGAGCTCCTTATCTGGTCTCTTGTTAGCAGACATATCAGTGTAACTACAATTTAGAGATTTATATTTATACACATACAACAAGACAAGCAACAGAAGAAGAGGTTGCCTTTGTAAATGCCTGAAAATTTTTGTACATTAAACCGACTCCTTTTTGTTTTTAATGCGATATAATTCCCCAGTTTGGGGTTTTATGTTTACTGTCTCATGTGGTACTGCAGTATATTAATTTATTATGTAAATGTTCAGTTTTGTAACCATATTATTGACTGTCATGGTACAAGTGTTTGTGCCCACATTGCATTGCAACTCATTTCAAATAAATTAATATGTGAAGACTTTTATGTGGTTTTGGTTCACTGTGAGGTATGTGTGTGTGTGTGTGTGTCTACTTGTTCTTGTGACATACTGAGGACCGCGGTAAGTTTTTGAGCAGCAGAGTGAGGACATTTGTGGAAGTGAGGACATTTTGTTCGGCATTCACTTCTTCAAAGGCCTCTTTGAGGGACTGGGTGTGTGCTTGTGTGTGTGAATTGTGTAACCCACAATTTTGTCACAATTTTATTAGATCCATTCTGTACCCACAAATATGCTTTCCTGTTAAAACTACGTATCTCCTAAACACAAGCTTTTCCTGAGCTGAGACAGCCTGTTTTTAGCTTTGCGACAATTTTAAATAACATTACGGGTTTTCTCATGGTTTATCTTAGAAAACATTTTTTTCAGCCAATAAAGGGATACTTTGGAGATGCATGGTTTTCAGTAAACAGTGACATTGGTAATGCTGAAACAGGTACACTTATAATGATTATAAATAAGCTATAAAAAAAAAAAAAATAGTTTTAAAGGTTTATGTTTTTTACCTCCTACAACAAAGTCTCACATACTTAAAGCAACCCAGTGGCCCCCAAAAAAATGCTGGCATTGTTTTTTTCTGCAAACTACAGATATGTTGCATTTGCACACTATTCTGTAGCGGATACGTTGAAATTTCATGTTTCAGTAATGCTGTGGTTAACACGTGGTTAGGTCAGGGGTCAGAAACCTTTAATATAAAAAAACATTTTGGGTCAAAAAAGCTCTCAAATAATCTGCCTGGAGCCACAAAACATATTTTAGCCTTATAATCAAGGTAACAATGAGTCTAAATGAGCAATTAAAATATATGTTTCACCACAAGTAGTGGGGTATTTATGATTGTTTGGTACTTTAACTTTGCAGGGTTGGTGGTAAAAGCGAACAAATATGTTCATGCACTGTTTAATTCTCTGTTGTCTTCCAAGACTTTTTTGGATCTGGAATCCATAGCTAGCTAAGCGAGGGAGATCCAAGACAAGCCATCGCTGTTGAGGTTCGGCAATATTTAAAGGAAAAGGTGATTGGCCATATGATGCACATATAGTTGTGTAAAAACACAAAACTTTTTTTTTCTTCTGTAATTAGGCTACACATTTTACAATGGAGAATGTAAGAATCACTCAAGGCCTACAACAGTGAAAAATTAAAATGTTAAAAGATAGCTGTTATTAATTTCTATGTACATTATTGTCAAAGCCACAGGGAGCCACTGAAGAGGGGCGAAAGAGCCACATGTGCAAGTCTCACCTAGGAGACTCACCATACACCATCCCTTCCATCTCCAGATGACAAAGTCAGCTCATATACTACATCACTTCAGAAACACTGATACCATACATATGTATGTGCAAATGTAACATATTGGAGGTTTTTCAGAAACAATGCCCACATTTTGTCATGGCAACTGGACTGCCCAAGGAGAACCTGATATGTAAAATTCTAAAAGCTGCATCCACTAGACAGATTAAAGTTTCCTCAGATTCACCAGACAGACAGATTTATTGCATCACCAAAAAACATCCAAAGACATTTCAAGATGACAAAAGTTTCCAGTCATGCAGAGCTGGATGGAAATTTATGTCTGTAAAATAAAAAAAAAATTATAAATATGCCTCTTACAAAATTACCAAATAAAGGTATACTCTCTCTATAGAATGAAAAATAGACAGACAACTACTTTCTGTTGCATCATCAGACGTTATCTTTGGTTTCTTTTGTCTTTTTCTCAGTGTGTGCTCTGAGTTTGTATCCTCAGTTCTCAGCACTAATAGGTGCTTCCTGCTTCCCTCTCAAAAGTAATTGATCTTGACCAGTTTAACATCAGGACTGTCACATCCTCACTTCCTTTTTCCTCCCAGTTGCCACAGTTTCTCCCGTGATCTTGTCATTAGGCATGTTTCCTTTGTTTTCACGGTGTCGTTACCAGCAACACTGGTACTTCAACTGGTCAGGATTTTAGTGAGTAAGTGACCTCGCTTGTCAAAATGTTAAACATCCAAAGCCAGCGCCCTGTCAGGTTCAAAGGTCACCCTCAGGTCACAGGTTGGTGTCAGTGAACATGGTGTGCTCCTTCCTTACTGTGCTGAAACCTTTGACAGTGTCAACGAATTCCTCGTCGTCCATAAACTGTGAAGGAAAAGGACAGGGCTCGTTAAACAGGAGTCAGAGCCTGATTTAAAGTCACTTAAAAGTGTTTTGACTTGTCTGTGGGTCTAGTTGATTTCCCCATGTTGGGATTTTGGTGCACAGCTGTGGAAATGTGTGCAACACCAGCATTATTGTAAATGACAGCACATGCTTCATCTCTGTAATGTGACGGCATACGTTTTTGGGGTCTCTCACCATCCCACTGTCATGGCCTGAAATGTCTGGGTCCCACGTTTCCTCGTCTCCTGTGAGGGACTTCCCATCCATCACCTGGCTGACGCTTCGTCTCAGAGAGTTTACACTGAGGATCCCCAGCTCGCCCTGTGGTGGGACCTCATCAATAGGCTCACATTTAGCTTCCAGCACTTCCTGGTGGGAGCAGGGAGAGATAGATATTTATGCCATGCACGTGTGCAGCTGTGTTTCTGTATCTGTGTTGGTGAGACTGGTTTTTACCTCAATCTTCATGGTGAAGCCTTTGAGTGTTACACTGTTGGAGAAGCCTGCTGTGTCAGGCACAGTGTCGAACTGAAAACAAGAGAATGAGGCTTTAGCAAGGTGTTTCTAAGTAAATTCTGTCTGACTGGCAAACAGAAAATCTCAACTATGTATGAAAATATTCACTGTCAATTATTCTGTGGTCCAGTTTAGTTCATCTGCCTATACTCGCTTGATAATAATGCCTCAATAACATTTAATTGTTTGTAAAAGTATTTTTTCTGTGCTCAAAATCAAAGCTGAGGCACGATTAGATCTCCGTAGTCAAGTGGCTCAGACCTCAGATAGTTAACTTATCCCTCAGTACCAACTAGGAAGAGACAATCACTGCTGTTTGTGTCTCATGATTAGACAGGATGTGAGTTAAGTAGGAACAGTCCCATCAGAGCTGAAAAAGTGAAAATTGGGAGCTGGTTCTTTTGCTGTATTTGTATGTAAGTTCCTTTTTTTTTAGTATATCATGAAAATGTCATACTATGGTATGCACAAGAAATTCCATAGTATAGTATGCCCAAAAAATGTTAAAAAGAAACAGTAATAATAATATAGTAGGCCCATGCCATAAAATTTAAAAGAACATATTATATCATGAAAAAATAATTTAAAAAGGCATAGTGTAGTTTGTTATAAAAAGTAAAACAAAAAAGAAAGTCATAGTATCTCAAAAAAGTTTATTATGCCATAAACAAGTTTTTGTCATTGTCATTGTCATTGAATTAAAAAAAGTAAAAAAATGAAATAAAAATTAAAATAAAATAAAAATGTCAAAAATATTTCATAAAGTAGTATGCCATTAAAATATTATTACAAAAAACTCATAGTATAGTATGTCATAAAAAAGTCACAGAATTGTATAAAAAAAAGTAGAAAAAAATGTCATAAAAAAGTTATTGTATATTATTCCATATAGTTTTTTGTTTTTTTTGGAAAAAAAAAATCATAGTATTGTATGCCATTAAAAGTTAAATAAAGTAAAAGTATAAACTCATAAAAAAGCCACAGTATATTATGTCATAAAAAGTATTTTAAAAAATAATTGTATGGTATTCCATTAAAATGTTACAGTATAGTACGTTAAAATGTCAAAACATTTCATAAAATAGTATGCCATTAAAAAAATGTTATTAAAGAACTCATAGTATAGCATGTCATAAAAAGTCACAGAATAGTATTAAAAAAAGAAGTCATAGTATAGTATATCATAAGTTTTTCTTTTTTTAAAAAAGAAAAAAGTCATAGTATAGTATTTCATTAAAGTAAAAAAAATCATAGTATTGTAATTCATGAAAATGTCATAGTACAGAATGTCATAAAATAGTTAAAGTTTCGTATGTCAAAAAATATGGTGTCATAAAAATGTTATTGAGAACTTAGACCCCTGATTCTTGTTTCAAAATCATTTAAAATGGTCAGTATAGCTACAGTGCAAATTTAATAGGATGAGTTAATTTTATATTTTAACTAAATACAGCTCAAAAAGAGCGTTCTTTATAATTGAAAATGTCATATTCTACATTGGTCATTTTCACGGTCATAGCAGATACTGTGTTTTATCATTTCCATGTCAGTAATTAGTACTGTTAGTGATGGCTGCATTCCAGTTAGGTGTTCCAGTTGAGGGGCCGTAGCACTGTGTGTTCTAGCTCACTTGTAATTAGTCACACATTTATACAGACTTATATCTGATGTAGTGAAGAGTGATTATAAAATAAAAGTCACACTCACTAGAACAGAGTTGCTGGGTGGGTAAACAGCCATGGGGCTCCTCTTCTGCATGGGCAGGGCCACCAGCGGGGGCCTCTCTCTGGTGAAGGGAGGTTTGTTCAGGGCCTGGTGTAAAGATCATGGAGGCAAAAGATAAACACTGACCTGCGCTGTTGGGGTCAGACCTCTCATGGCTGTCAACCCTGACATGTAACACAAAATAACTGTCTCTTACCTTATGGAGCATGACGCCCAACATGATGGCCAGCAGCAGCAAAGCCACGGCTGCCATCACTACGATGAACCAAAGCTCACGGACGAGCGGCTGGTCGCCCTGACCTCCCTCTGCCTGCTCGCCATCCCCACCACCTCCATTTCCTCCTGCTGCAGGAGGAGTGAGGCTCGGTGAATCTGGAGGGAAGAGCGACATTTTAGTAATCAACTATCCCCAGAATAAAGTATCTCCTCACAATCATACAATCTTTAAGACCTTGTTTTGATATTACACTCTTAAATCATTAAAGGGACAGTTCACCCCCAAATCAAAAATACATATTTTCACTCTTAACTGCAGAACTATTTATCAGTCTAGATTGTTTTGGTGTGAACTGCAGAGTGTTGGAGATATTGGCCATAGAGATGTCTGCCTTCTCTCCAGTATAATGGAACTAGATGGTGCTCAAAGCGCCAAAAAATACATTTTATAAACTCGACATTAACAGCAACAATACAACACACAGACATGGACATACAAGATGAATAAAAAACTGACAATGACAAACGACAGCACAAAAAACAAACCAAAGCCAAAGAAGCAAAAAGGCCAAAAAAGGGTCAGGGTTAGCTAGATCAAAAACAGTCCTTAGTCTGCTTGGCCGCCAAATTTGCCCACATTTATTAATGTGGAACTGCAGGGAGTCTATGTTACAGAGAATTTCTTTAAGGATCTTTTGAGAGTATGTCTGATTTTTTTCCAATTTTATGCAATTTAAAACTGCTTGAATCCAAAGAGCATGGGAAGGGGGCAGAGAAGATGTCCATTGTAGCAACATTAAACATCTCGTCAGCAGAGTGACAAAAGCGATTACATCTTTTTTGGCTTAGTCAGTTGCAGTGTAGGTAGAGTGGCCCCAAATAGGGCAGTAAGACAAAATGGTTCAATCTGTGTACCAGTGAGAACTATTTATTTATGACCGTATCACTGCGCAGGAGGAAGAGTGCATCTACTCATGGACGAGAGGCTCATGCACATGATGGTGCAAGATCTAAATGTTAATGGCTTCTTCCTCAGCTGAGCTGGAACATTAGCTAGCTCAGTGGTGCTAGGTGAGCTAGCAGTAGATGCACTCTTCCTTCTGCGGGGTGTAGTTCAGCAGAAAGAAAATAGTTCCTCCATAAAACTGCTCACAACAAGGACTGTGGATTATTTTGAGTAACCAGGTCATGATTCCTGGAAAGAGACAATGCTGTTGAGTTTTTCAAATGTATTTTTGGCACTTTGAGCACCACAAGCTGAGTGCCATCTAGTTCCATTATAATGGAGAGAAGGCAGACATCTCTACGGCTGATATTTCCAACTCTCTGCAACTAAAAAAACTGGGGGTGATTTTAACCAAAGTTCTGTCCAACAACATATGTAGAAATATGTCAGATAATTTGTTTAACAACAACCCTGCTTGTCTAAATGTCTCCTTGGCCTTTTTTGTCCAAACCTCTTTTTCTCCTACATGTATTCAGACTTCTGTTGGGTTTACATTTGATAGGAATACATCACAAGTCAACACTGTGAGATAGAAAGACGATCACACGTGCTACAGAAGAGATAACACTGTAACTGGAGCCATACTTGTTCTATGGCCTAGTTTCTGCTCTGCAGATAGCACCACACACACACACACACACACACACACACACTTAATCAGCCGCTTTTAATCATTTCCTTCAGACTTCTGCACACTATAGATATGTCAGTTTATAAACTGGTGCAGTATACAGTGTGTTGGTAGATCCTAAAGGCAACATGATGCTTTAAGGATGATCAGAGAGTGCTAATGTTCCATGCTTTTACAGAGAAAGCTACATATATATAGTAAAGGTTTAGAGATTCTTGAAAAATAAGTTTAAACTCTGGATGGGCTGATGGAAACAAAAGTGTGTCCATCCAGAGACTCACCAGTACTGACGTCCGTGGCTCGGCCTGTGGCGGGGGTGCTGGCAGCCCCTCGCTGTGTGATACATCGATCAGAAGGGAAGAAGAAGACCCGCCAGGCGTTTAGGATCACACCTGTTGCACCATCAATATTTTACACCTGATACTTTTACTTGCCGACTCCTCAGCAGCTCACAGGTGAGGAGCAACTGAAGAGAAATGTCCCCATGTCTTGTTCCCCGCCCTGAGGCTAATGTTTCCCAGAGAGCAGGAGGTACAAACAAAGCACCAGAGCTATATAAAAGAGAGCCTCACATAAACTGCATGTGTGTTCCTCTAACGCTCCAAAACTCCCATCAACCTTTGCTTTTTTCAGCAGTGCCATGGTAACAGCCAGGTGTCAGGTTTCAGTTTACCTGAAGAGGCATCTGATCCTCAGGTGTACTGTTTGTATGTCCACTCTTAGAAGGATAAATGCCCCATGTGTGTTATGTTGACTTCTCATGTAGAAATTATATAACAATACATAACACATTCCCAGAGTCAATATGTAGGGGAGACTGGGGTTGGTTGGCACACTTTTACTCTCTTACACATTTCTCTGGCATAATTTATGTTGAAATATTTAAGCCAAAAGAAAGGTTATAGTCTCAGCTATAGATAAATATGTTTCAATGAACACACATGTTTTCCAAAATTAGCTGAATTGTGATTAAAGTTATGTTGTGCCAAACAGCCCCATCACATCAGTAAATGAGTGGAAGTTAAGAAAGAAACATTTTGATGTTACATTTTTGTTTCTGTGACCTTCAAAGGACATGAGGGAGGTGGAGCGTGAGTATGCGCGATAGGACCTGAAAGATAGTGAACTATGCCTGGGCAGGGCGAAGCCAGAGAAAACTTTGGTGGAGGCCCATGGCAGTCCTGAATTGGTCATCCGACTTAGGTGTAGGGGCGAAAGACTAATCGAAGCATCTAGTAGCTGGTTCCCTCCAAAGTTTCCCCCGGGATAGCTGCCGCTCAGAGTCTCGCAGTTTTATCCAGTAAAGGGAATAATTAGAGGTCTTGGGGCCAAAACGATCTCGACCTACTCTCAAACTCTCGAACAGTTGTGCCAACCAACACTGGTCTCCCCTACTACTGTCATGATGTACATCCTGTGTGAACTGGATGGAACAGTTTGAGCTCACTGGTTGCACGTCTCTTCCCTGTTGCTCCTGCTGATAATAATACAAAACAGAAAAAGATGTGACTTAATGAGTTCAGGTGCAGTACACATTGACAGCTATGATCACAATTACTATTGCCCTAATACGATGTGATAACAGCTACAAATATTATCTGATTAATGCATTAATTATCTTAATTACCTCATTAGCAAAATCTGTCATCTTATAATTACCCTCTGTGAGTTTAGAGGAAATTCTCTTTTCTCTCTCAAACAATGACGCAACTGTTAGCTCTTATGTTCTTATGTATGTTGTTGGATATTTAACTGCAACCAACCAAGTGTCTTTAACTGTATATAATGTTGCTACAGAATAATTGTGTTTTTATAGTCTGTCTTTGGCTCCAACAAACCGGCTGAAGTGTCTGGAAGTCACTCGTGAATGTTACTGTATTTGTTCCATCAGTGTCTACTTGAATGCCTGGTTTAGTTTTTTGCAATACGCCTTTTCTTGTTTGTTTGTTTGTTTGTTTGTTTATTGGCAGTGAGAGGATATACAGAAGATAATTTTAAATAGTAAGGATGCACGATACTGCATTTTTTTTGCCAATATCCAATATGCTGATATATAACAACCTATTTGGCCGATAACCGATACCTATATATCCGCTTCTTTCCATACCTAATTTTAGTCATCATCAAGTCTCTTGTGTAGTGGAATTAACATCATATTATACATGCATACTCTTATGGTGATGGCCCACCAGCAGATGGAGACATGAAATGCAACACTTTTCAATGTACAGTACAGGCCAAAAGTTTGGACACACCTTCTCATTCAATGTGTTTTCTTTATTTTCATGACTATTTACATTTTAGATTCTCACTGAAGGCATCAAAACTATGAATGAACACATGTGGAGTTATGTACTTAACAAAAAAAGGTGAAATAACTGAAAACATGTTTTATATTCTAGTTTCTTCAAAATAGCCACCCTTTGCTCTGATTACTGCTTTGCACACTCTTGGCATTCTCTCCATGAGCTTCAAGAGGTAGTCACCTGAAATGGTTTTCCAACAGTCTTGAAGGAGTTCCCAGAGGTGTTTAGCACTTGTTGGCCCCTTTGCCTTCACTCTGCGGTCCAGCTCACCCCAAACCATCTCGATTGGGTTCAGGTCCGGTGACTGTGGAGGCCAGGTCATCTGCCGCAGCACTCCATCACTCTCCTTCTTGGTCAAATAGCCCTTACAGAGCCTGGAGGTGTGTTTGGGGTCATTGTCCTGTTGAAAAATAAATGATCGTCCAACTAAACGCAAACCGGATGGGATGGCATGTCGCTGCAGGATGCTGTGGTAGCCATGCTGGTTCAGTGTGCCTTCAATTTTGAATAAATCCCCAACAGTGTCACCAGCAAAACACCCCCACACCATCACACCTCCTCCTCCATGCTTCACAGTGGGAACCAGGCATGTGGAATCCATCCGTTCACCTTTTCTGCGTCTCACAAAGACACGGCGGTTGGAACCAAAGATCTCAAATTTGGACTCATCAGACCAAAGCACAGATTTCCACTGGTCTAATGTCCATTCCTTGTGTTTCTTGGCCCAAACAAATCTCTTCTGCTTGTTGCCTCTCCTTAGCAGTGGTTTCCTAGCAGCTATTTGACCATGAAGGCCTGATTGGCGCAGTCTCCTCTTAACAGTTGTTCTAGAGATGGGTCTGCTGCTAGAACTCTGTGTGGCATTCATCTGGTCTCTGATCTGAGCTGCTGTTAACTTGCGATTTCTGAGGCTGGTGACTCGGATGAACTTATCCTCAGAAGCAGAGGTGACTCTTGGTCTTCCTTTCCTGGGTCGGTCCTCATGTGTGCCAGTTTCGTTGTAGCGCTTGATGGTTTTTGCGACTCCACTTAGGGACACATTTAAAGTTTTTGCAATTTTCCGGACTGACTGACCTTCATTTCTTAAAGTAATGATGGCCACTCGTTTTTCTTTAGTTAGCTGATTGGTTCTTGCCATAATATGAATTTTAACAGTTGTCCAATAGGGCTGTCGGCTGTGTATTAACCTGACTTCTGCACAACACAACTGATGGTCCCAACCCCATTGATAAAGCAAGAAATTCCACTAATTAACCCTGATAAGGCACACCTGTGAAGTGGAAACCATTTCAGGTGACTACCTCTTGAAGCTCATGGAGAGAATGCCAAGAGTGTGCAAAGCAGTAATCAGAGCAAAGGGTGGCTATTTTGAAGAAACTAGAATATAAAACATGTTTTGAGTTATTTCACCTTTTTTTGTTAAGTACATAACTCCACATGTGTTCATTCATAGTTTTGATGCCTTCAGTGAGAATCTACAATGTAAATAGTCATGAAAATAAAGAAAACGCATTGAATGAGAAGGTGTGTCCAAACTTTTGGCCTGTACTGTATGTAACAGTAATTGTACAAATTAATTCTGATTGTTCATTTTAAAGCCAATGTCAGCCGATACTGATGACATGCTGATGTTATTGAGCATCTCTATTAAAGTTCTATTAGTTAGTTTTAGGTTGTTTTTTTTTGGCAATTATATATCAAAGCACATTCAAGTGCTAAAGGGAGAGAAAAATAAATCAATTAACAAGCCAAAACCTGAACAAAAATCTATAAATAGAAACAAAGGACAACAACAAGGTCTAAGTCAGTTTCTTGGACCTTGATGCCATCTCTATTTTCTGAGGGAATATTTTACTTTCCTTATCTTGAACTGTCTTAACTGTCTCACACTTTGACCAATAAGATCCCAAATAAAGAGAAAATTTATTTGAAATAATAGTGGAAATATGAGAAATCACACTTTTACTTGTAACTTTTTAATTGTTGACAAAAACAAGGAAATACAATAAAATTACCAAATAAAAACGTATCAAGTTTGTTCCAGCCAAAATGTAGGCAACAAATGACATTTTTTTGTGGTAAATAATCTTCTTAAAATCCCTCTCTCTTACTTAGATAAACATTTTAAAATCTAATGCAGGGTTTAACTGTTTTTGAGAATAGCATGACCTCATTGCTCAAACCAGAGTTAACATTGTTCTCCTTGCAATGCGCTGTATAACCACATGATGGCGCTGAGCAGCAGCTGCTGTGAGTCCAGTTTAATGAGCAGCAGAGGAGAAACTCAATTTGCAAGTACAGCTGCAGTGCTTCTTATCCTCAGTCCCAGCTGTTATTGCAGTCGCACACGTGCACGCATGCTCAAACATACACACTCCTTTTGTCGTCCCGCTCAGGACAAAGCAACACAGCTGAGCTAAAGAAAGTCACTTCTCTCTGCGTCGTCCTCGAGTGACCTCTAACTGTACATGTACTGTTGTCCGTCTGCTGTGAGGGAATGATTGAGGATGACAGGCCAGAGGTGCAGCAGCAGATTTAGCAACAGTTTGTCAGGGTGTTCATGGTAGCGCCGCAGGACGCCATGAAACTTTTAAACGTGTGAGCAACTCGGGGGTGGAATCCTGGGATGATTTGTGGTCTTGTTTTCTTCTTCTACCTCAAAATTGTTAAATTAAACATGATTCTGCACAGTATGCTGGACAATGGAGGCTCCCAGACAATAGGTTTGAATATGATGTATTTTCTGTCTTAAAGTTCCCACCATTAACCAAAAAAAGTGTTTTTCTCTTTGTCACTTTGTTTGGACGTTTGACCTTCAGTGTGCGGAATAATGTATGTGCAGAGTTTAACATGAGAAGACCGGTATCACATTCGTCTTGTTGTCTGTGCTCTCCTTAAATTGGAGTTTAGGACGTGTTTGTACGACCAGGATTTGTGACATCACAAATTGTCTGGGAGCCAATTGAAATGAATAAATATTTGCATTTCCATAGATTCTTTTCAGTTAGGGAAAAGGAGTAGATGTATTAGAGTAGATTATTTTTTTTTATAATGATAATGATAATACTAAGAATAATAATACTTTCAATTCAATAAAAATACATATTGAAAAATCATCACAATAAATAAAATAAATAAATTCTGACAAATGTTTTTTTAAAGCAGGGTATTTTCATGATAATAATAATAAATTCAATAATAATAAATGTTGAAAAATCATCACAACTAATAAAATAAATAAATAAATTCAGACAAAGGTGGTTGTTTTTTAAAGCAGAGTATTTTGTATTTTGTTTTTCTACCACCCATATATTGCAGGTTATGTTGGACTGATATCTGAGGCTGGCCGGGGCCTCTCAACGTTTCTTTTAAACTAACAACTTTAAACATTTTATGGGGGTCCTGGATGAAAACTGGCCGCAGATAATAAATACAATTATTCTGTTTTGTAAAATATTTTTGTTTAAAGCTCAATCAAGAAAAAAATTGAATTTAAGTTTTCTGAAAAATACAGCGCAGTGTTAATTTCTTATGGGAAAAAAAATATCACTACAAACCATTGCAAAGTAGCACAACATAACATAAAATGGGAAGAAAGTTTGCTCTATTGAAAAGTTGGACTATATAGAATTATAATTACACTATACCTGTTATATAAATGTAATTAATTTATTAGTTTTTTCTAGTACTATTAACTTCAGATTCAAATTCTATTTATTGTTATTTTTATGATGAAACATAAAAACAAAATACTGTTTCACATCTAAAACCGGCAAAATTAAAAGCTTTCAGCGCAGTAAAATTATTCCATTGATAAATAGGTAAATAAAAAAATGCAAAAAAGAAGGGTAGAAAATAAAATAGAACTTAATCATTTGAATTACTGATTTGATCTTATTAACTTTTATATGGCTTTTATTTTATCATTTTTTGTTTTGTTTTGTGAAACCATATTGTCATATCATGTTGTGATCTGTGCTTTGTGTATTATCATTTCCCTGTCATAAAGAAAATTTAAAAAAAATTTAATTAAATTGAATAAAAATAATATTAAACTTCACTTCTATTGCACTTGTTTGTTTTTTTTACATAGTGGGTCACAATACAATTAGAAAAACAAAAATCAAAGAACATAATAAACAGAAAATGCCATAAAAGGCAAACCAAACTTCAATGAAGCACATCAAAAATTTGAAGATGAAAAAAATGTATGTCTTAAAACATATCTGAAGAGGACCTTCACGAGTGAAATATTTGATATGCAGTAACTTTGTAGAAAAACCCCAATTGAGACAGAAGCTAGTGGAACATGTAAAGGAGTTTTAAATCATCAGGTGTAATATGCAGTTCATTTTCCAATTTATATTTTATTTCAGTTTTATGACAACATTCTCAGACTCCTGATCCAGTGACGGGGTGTTCACTCTGGTAGCAACATTGTCCTTTAAGAAAACTTCAAAAGTCCATTAGAAATAAACTTTTTAAGATGACAGACAAAAGCTATTAATCAAAACAAAGACACACTTCTCATAATCGTTGCATCATTTTCTTGTTAATCACCTCAAGAGTTTGGACTAAACATGGACATTTCAGGACCTTTATTTTGTGATGAAAGTCAGCAGTGTTAGCTGAACGTTAAGACGCATTTCCTGCAATAAAACAAGGATGACTTAATGTCTGAAACCAACGCTGCCACATAATAATTCCACCAAAACAAGGCGATTATTTAACACTTTCCTTGAAGCTGCAGCCATCGCTCCAAAGTCCCAGACATCACCACTCTGGATAAGAGGGGGGCCTCACATTAACTAACTGCTCATTTGATTTATTTTTACAGAAGAGCTCTCCTCAGTCTAATACCCTAATCAGCATTCATACCTTGCCGTGATGATTCGGGACAATGCTTTTTTATTGAGGAAGTGATCTCACCCTTGAGTGCCAGAATCAGCCTTTTTTTACAGCCCATCTCCTCAGGGCCTCATCCATCACCAAGGTGTCTGGGCGACACGGCCGCTAGACACATACTAACTCATTTAAGGAGAGGGACATACGGGGATGTATCACTCAAGATCACTAACTCACTTACTGACGGCTGATGTGGTGAAACATCTCCAGCCTGTTCCAAATCCCTCGGTACACTATGTGAGTTTTAACCACAGGAAAATAAGGAGATTATTTAGCTTCTGCTGACAGATGACGGGGGATGAAAGACAAATGGGTTCCCTTGGATTGGGATTTGCCCGACCATCTTTCTTCTTCAGGTGTTGCTGGCTTTGTCTCGTCTCCTTGTATATACAAACAAGATCACATGCTTCATGTTACAGAACCAGTCATGACTGATTGCCACTGAACACTGCACGTCTCTATAGCTGATACTTCCTTTATCGATCGTGAACTCAATCAAAAAGCATGTAATCCTACAGAATATCTGCTGGTTCAATCACCAGTCTCACACAGGCAGAGCGCTGCTCATCATCCCAATCATTTCCAATTACAATTTCAAAATGAGTAGTATCAAACATGGCTGCTGGAAACAAGCATTAGCAATTGTGGTGTACTGAACAACTGAAAATCTTAACTAACCATTGTAATGGATTTATTAGAAGAAAAAAAAACCCAATCCTACATAAGAGGTCGTCAGTGTTTTAATAACAGAGTGCCAAATTTAGGAAACAGGATAAAAACAGCACTGACTTCTTCAATGACATTTTTTTATGGCAACTTATATTGGACTTCTTCATGACATATGATACTATCACGTTTTTATTACTTTTTCAGACACACAATGAGATGACTTTGCTATGACTTTTAACAACTCTTAATAGCACTACACTATGAATCTTATTTTTTTGACTTTGGAATGACATACTATGATTTTTGTTGATGACATACTATCACTTCTTTTAAGTGCATGGCATAATGACCCTCTCTGTCAAACAATATTATGACATTTTAATAACTTAAAGACATGATATACTATTACTTTTTAATGACTTCTTTTTAGCACACAATTCTATTACTTTTTAAATCATTTTTATCATACTATACTTTTACTTTTTAACACATCACATACTGTACTATGACATTTTTCATGATTTCGGATGACGTGACTTTTCATAATGATTTTGGACGACATACTATAATGTGACATTTTTTCATGATTTTGGACGACATACTGTACTATGATGTTTTTTGATGTTTTTGCAAGACATACTGTACTATGACGTTTTTTGATGGTTTCGGACAACATAAAATACTATGACTATTTTTCATGATTTTGGATGACATACTATACTATGACGTTTTTTCATGATTTTGGACGACATACTATACTATGACTTTTTTTCATGATTTTGGTCAACATACTATACTGTTACTAGTTTTTCATGATTTTTGACGACATACTATACTATGACTTTTATTCATGGTTTTTGACGACATACTATACTATGACTATTCTTTATGATTTTGGACGACATACTATACTATGGAGTTTTTTCATGTTTTTGGACGACATAGTATAGTATGTCATCCAAAATCATGAAAAAAAGTTATAGTATTTTATGACTATTTTTCATGATTTTGGACGACATACTATACTAAGACTATTTTTCATGATTTTGGACGACATACTGTAGTATGACGTTTTTTCATGATTTTGGACGACATACTATACTCTGACTATTTTTCATGATTTTGGACGACACACTATACTATGATCATTCTTAATGATTTTGGACGACATACTATACTATGTTTATTTTTCATGATTTTGGACGACATACTATACTATGACGTTTTTTCATGATTTTTTACGACATACTATACTATGAAGTTTTTTCATGATTGTCGACGACATAGTATAGTATGTCATCCAAAATCATGAAAAAAAGTCATGGTATTTTATCACTATTTTTCATGATTTTGGACGACATACTATACTGTGAAGTTTTTTCATTATTTTGGATGACATAGTATAGTATGTCATCCAAAATCATGAAAAAAAGTCATAGTATTTTATGACTATTTTTCATGATTTTGGACAACATACTATACTAAGACTATTTTTCATGATTTTGGACGACATACTGTAGTATGACGTTTTTCATGATTTTGGACGACATGCTATACTATGACATTTTTTCATGATTTTTGACGACACACTATGCTATGATCATTCTTAATGATTTTGGACGACATACTATACTATGACGTTTTTTCATGATTTTTTACGACATACTATACTATGAAGTTTTTTCATGATTTTCGACGACATAGTATAGTATGTCATCCAAAATCATGAAAAAAAGTTATAGTATATAGTATAGTATTTTTTGACTGTTTTTCATGATTTTGGACGACGTACTATACTAAGACTATTTTTTATGATTTTGGACGACATACTGTAGTATGACTATTTCTCATGATTTTGGACGACATACTATATACTATGACTTTTTTTCATGAGTTTGGACGACATACTATACTATGGAGTTTTTTCATGATTTTGGACGACAAACTGTACTATGACTATTTTTCATGATTTTGGACGACATACTATACTATGACTATTTTTCATGATTTTGGATGACATACTGTAGTATGAAGTTTTTTCATGATTTTGGACGACATACTATACTATGACTATTTTTCATCATTTTGGACTACATACTGTAGTATGACATTTTTTATGGTTTTCGATGACATACTATACTATGACTGTTTTCCATGATTTTGGACGACATGCTTTACTATGACTATTTTTCATGATTTTGGACGACATACAGTATTTGTATGTTTTTTTATGATTTTGGATGAACTACTATACTATGAGTTATTTAAATGAGTTTTAATGTCATACTATGCTGTGATTTTTTTTCATGATTTCTGGATGATTTTTTTTATTTTTTTTAACATACTCATACATACATTTTTTTGACATGCTCTCCTATGACTTCTTAAATTATACTATGTTATGAATAAACACTATCACCCTTTTACTAAAGCTATATGTTTATAGTGAGTTTCATTTTCTCAGGATGATTGTATGATGAGAAGATGAGTCAACTTCCTCTGCTTCCATCAGCCTCAACAGGCATCTGATGACCAGCGCTCCCCGGAGCCACTGCTGGACTTCATTACATTATAGCTGTTAATTATAAATCTCCATCCAACTGAGCTCCGATGGCCTAAATGTGCCATAACGGGCCTCATTTGAAAATGACAGTCCATTGTCAGGCTGTGCAGAATAGACTGCACCCACGTCCTCACTCTTAATAAATTTATTTCAAAGCCTTTCTTCTTTTTATCGAGAAAGATGACACTGAGATGATATGAGCTTTGCATTAAGGGGATCATCTTTATTGCCCAAGAATCCACCTGAGAATGAAATAGCACGGCACAGCTCATCCAAACAATGCTTATTTGCATCTTAAAACATCTCTGTTGGCATAAGACATGACGTATATACAGCAAAACGTACAGTACATACATTTAAACCGGCATATTGCTGCCGTCATCTTGTCACAAAAATATGCACATTATAGCGTCACAGTACCTTGAGTAAAATAAGGAGCAAGACTTTTATTCATTGTACTGAGATTCCTTCTGATTTCACCCCTTCATTTAACGTGTGCAAAAAAAAAGACAAATTTTTAGATATAACTACTCTTCACACAAAACACACTAACAGATAAACAGAGCGCCATCACCCGTTTCCCCAAACTTTATGGCTAAAAGAAAAAGTAGTGCACAAATTTCATCCTACACATAGACTTCTACCATTGAAAGGACATCAAATGCCTCCCTAATCCAGATTATACAGTATGGCAGCCATTTTACATAGTTAAAGTTATATCTACGGGTCTACAACAACTCTACAACATTATGATTTTCAAGTCCAATTATAATCATGTTGCCTTGAATTTTCACAATATGGTTTATATAGGTATCAGTGCTGTAGCAGAGAAGCTAGTAAAAAATTATCTTACAATGATATCGTTTAAAAATCTTTTTAAAAAATTATTATCCACTGTAATTGCTTTAACCTACTCTTCATTAATGCCACATTAGTAAATAAAAAACAGCAAATGAACAGAGCCACTTTTAAATAAATATCACTTTGCTGTCACACATTTGTATTAATGTATCATTAAGTACTCTTTCCCTGAAATGTTCTACTAAAATCAGGCCAGTTATAGATTTATGAGATGCAGACCACTTAATAGCGTCCCTTTAATTACTTATATATGGATGTAGTGTAGATAGATACTTTTGCGATACACAACACAGCAGGGATGCAGGTTTATGTGAATGACTTACAGGCCACATTATATTACTGTGGACATATGCTGGTATTAATAGTACGAGTCTTTACTCTTTGGCAAGACTTACCTCTTAGGACACATTTACCTTTTCTATACAAAAAGGACGAACAAAATCAAATCATCAAAAGGCTCCCTAAATGCACTAGATTGCAGATTAACAGGCTTCAAGATGGATCAAAAATAATCCATGAGGATCTTCAAGTATCAGGTGGTCTTTGACAAAAGAAGCTCTACATTTGGCATGTTACTGTTAATATGTCTAGAAGGCGATTTCTTCTGTGTTTATGCTGTTTGTCCATCTGCCTTCGACCTTTGGAAGCAGGTCAACACGCTTAAATTAGTGTCACCAAAAGCAAAGATGACAGTGTCCTCATCGTTGAGAAGACGCTCAATGCAAATTAAACTGCTCCGTTCAAACTGTCATTTAGAGTAGGAAGGGTGTTGCTCTAAAATGTTCCACTGCTTGCCTCTAGAACACGCTCCCCGGCGACTGCAGATTCAAAACCTTATTGTCAAAGCTGAAATGGACAAATACATGGTGTCAAACCCCACCATTACCCGTTATCCTTCACTTCCTGTCCTCCTGACCGCCTGCGTTGGGGGTCAGGACGAACCTGATGGCTGTCTGTGTTGGGGTCAAGCTTTGGCCTCCAGCAGTTCGAGGAACAGTTTGTGCATTGGCACGCGGCCGTCCTGTTTGATGCTGCAGAAGTGCTGGACAGCACGAGCAGCCGTCTGACGGAGGAGAGGGAGGGTCATGATCAGTTTGCCGGCCCGCCGAGGGTCCTCTGGGTGGTGGGTGGCCTCGTAGTCCTGTAGGGCCCCGTGAAGGACATCCTGGAGTCTCTGAACGGCCTCTGAGTCCTCGATTTGCATCGAGTCTGTAAGGAGAGATGAAATTGAGGAGTTGAAGTATGTCAACAATTTAAATATGTAAAACTTTATTTTTACAAAGTCATAGCAGAATTTCGAAACACCTGATTGTAGATTTTAATTTAAAGGAACACTTCACCCAAAAAATGCGCATTTGTTATCAATTATTTGATCTGTGTTATGTTGAATTTGTGAAAAAACTTTGTTTATTCTCACATGCCTACACGGTAAACGAAGAATCCAAAAACAGAGAAAATTTTTGATGACTTTGCAATTGATCATGTAGTTGTAGAGATATTTCAGTTTGGACAAATCTGTGGACCAACCTACTGTCTGGCCTTACCATCCACAGAGCCACATGCTGTACTGGCTAAATATTGTGCAGGTACAGAGCTAAAGAGCCTAATCTCTGCAACTGACCTGAGTTAGCAAGCGCGATAGCCTTGAGAACCACAAACTCCTCCTTTTCCAGCCCCATGGCTTTATACTTCTTCACCAGCTGCAGGATGGCATTGTTGAGGTCGAGCAGCCCGGCCAGCTTCGACTGCTCCTCGTCCATGATGTAGTCCTCAGCGTACACCAGCTTGTCCTCCAGGACCAGCGAGCGGAACACCACCCGCAGGATCAAAATCTCCATCCAGCCGCTCTGCAGCAGACTCATCTGGTCGGCCAGAGAGAGGGAGGGGAAGCCTGGGGAGACAAGAGGGACAATATGGACCAGTTATTTGGGGTGCAGAAGAGAGAGATCTTAAAGGGACACTCCACATAGGGATGCATTTTATGAAAAAAGGTCTATTTACTTATCAGCTGTATGATATCATCGGCCTCTGTGAAGGGAGCTTTATAAAACCTGAGAAAAAAATCACTGATGATGTCATCAGGGTCATTTTGGAATGGGTGCTAGATGACAAATATATCACAGAAATCTGCTTTATAAATTGAGGTATCGTGTTTAAAAGAGGTGAACATTTAATGGTAAGAAAAGGTCTATTATGTTCTTGAAATTAAGGGATCCAGCATTTTTGAAGACTGATCTAATTCCATAGCCCCCTTGCCCCTACCACTTTGCCCTTACCCCTCCGTTTTACGTGTCATGTCTGATTCTTATTGGGATAGAAGTGTAGGGCGAAGTGTTGGGGCTGCATGATCCTCTAAATGAAGGCTTTTCAGAGGCGCACTTCAAAATGAGTTGATTTTAAATTATATCATCTTAAGTTTAATGTCATTTCAATGTAATACGGTCATTTTCTTTAGAACAAGCAGAACAACAACAAAAAAAACGATGCTAGTAGTATGCCGAAGTCTCGTTAGCTCACTAGCTAGCTAGCTAACTTTACATTGTTAGCACTGAGGCAGTCCAACAAATTTTATTGTTTTTAGATTTAAAATTTCAATGGGAAAAAACTTTTTTTATATATACAGTACAGGCCAAAAGTTTGGACACACCTTCTCATTCAATGCGTTTTCTTTATTTTCATGACTATTTACATTGTAGATTCTCACTGAAGGCATCAAAACTATGAATGAACACATGTTCAGTTATGTACTTAACAAAAAAAGGTGAAATAACTGAAAACATGTTTTATATTCTAGTTTCTTCAAAATAGCCACCCTTTGCTCTGATTACTGCTTTGCACACTCTTGGCATTCTCTCCATGAGCTTCAAGAGGTAGTCACCTGAAATGGTTTTCCAACAGTCTTGAAGGAGTTCCCAGAGGTGTTTAGCACTTGTTGGCTCCTTTGCCTTCACTCTGCGGTCCAGCTCACCCCAAACCATCTCGATTGGGTTCAGGTCCGGTGACTGTGGAGGCCAGGTCATCTGCCGCAGCACTCCATCACTCTCCTTCTTGGTCAAATAGCCCTTACAGAGCCTGGAGGTGTGTTTGGGGTCATTGTCCTGTTGAAAAATAAATGATCGTCCAACTAAACGCAAACCGGATGGGATGGCATGTCGCTGCAGGATGCTGTGGTAGCCATGCTGGTTCAGTGTGCCTTCAATTTTGAATAAATCCTCAACAGTGTCACCAGCAAAACACCCCCACACCATCACACCTCCTCCTCCATGCTTCACAGTGGGAACCAGGCATGTGGAATCCATCCGTTCACCTTTTCTGCGTCTCACAAAGACGCGGCGGTTGGAACCAAAGATCTCAAATTTGGACTCATCAGACCAAAGCACAGATTTCCACTGGTCTAATGTCCATTCCTTGTGTTTCTTGGCCCAAACAAATCTCTTCTGCTTGTTGCCTCTCCTTAGCAGTGGTTTCCTAGCAGCTATTTGACCATGAAGGCCTGATTGGCGCAGTCTCCTCTTAACAGTTGTTCTAGAGATGGGTCTGCTGCTAGAACTCTGTGTGGCATTCATCTGGTCTCTGATCTGAGCTGCTGTTAACTTGCTATTTCTGAGGCTGGTGACTCAGATGAACTTATCCTCAGAAGCAGAGGTGACTCTTGGTCTTCCTTTCCTGGGTCAGTCCTCATGTGTGCCAGTTTCGTTGTAGCGCTTGATGGTTTTTGCGACTCCACTTGGGGACACATTTAAAGTTTTTGCAATTTTCCGGACTGACTGACCTTCATTTCTTAAAGTAATGATGGCCACTCATTTTTCTTTAGTTAGCTGATTGGTTCTTGCCATAATATGAATTTTAACAGTTGTCCAATAGGGCTGTCGGCTGTGTATTAACCTGACTTCTGCACAACACAACTGATGGTCCCAACCCCATTGATAAAGCAAGAAATTCCACTAATTAACCCTGATAAGGCACACCTGTGAAGTGGAAACCATTTCAGGTGACTACCTCTTGAAGCTCATGGAGAGAATGCCAAGAGTGTGCAAAGCAGTAATCAGAGCAAAGGGTGGCTATTTTGAAGAAACTAGAATATAAAACATGTTTTCAGTTATTTCACCTTTTTTTGTTAAGTACATAACTCCACATGTGTTCATTCATAGTTTTGATGCCTTCAGTGAGAATCTACAATGTAAATAGTCATGAAAATAAAGAAAACGCATTGAATGAGAAGGTGTGTCCAAACTTTTGGCCTGTACTGTATATGTGTAGAAAATACTTACAATATCTCTGAAATTGATCGAAACAGAAAGAAAATTAAAGCAAGCTATGAAGAAATGGTTAGCAAGTGGTCTCTCATGATAGGGACCTTACAAAAAATAATACAGTGTTGTCCTTTTATGTCTCTTTTATTTCTTTATGTAATCGTTTATATTGTATTAGCGCCTGGATTTGCATTTTTGAGGGCATATAGCCTATGATAGATGGCACTGTTTCTTTTTAAATTTAATGTGAGTTCTTTGAACACAAGTGTAGTTCCAAGGTGGCAATCTGAATCATTTGTAAGGGCCCTCCCCCAATCCCATGGACCCCAGTGCAACCCCACAGCCCACACTGTCTATATTTACGCCCCTGGTGTAGGCTGGCAGGGTACATGGGGACAGGGGTCGCTTACATTAGCATGTTGCTAACAGTAGCCAATAGAGCACCGCTAGTTGCCTGGTATTGAAGCAGTTTTCTTATCTGATGACTTGTTTGATTAACTGATAGCATTCAATTTAGGTTGTGAGCAAATCCTGAGCGTCCTGATAACGGCAAATGCATGCCTGTAGCCCACACAGAAGAAATCACTGCAGCAGAAGACGAAGAAATCAACGACTACCGATGACGTATCAGGGTCTTGAAGGGTCGTCCCATTTCACAGGGGAAGATATCAACCAATACCTCTTGTAACATCGTTCTGAGGGGCAAAGGGGTAAAAATAAGAAACAGGATTGGGCTGAAAGTCATAATGATTCAGCATCTGCTGCACAAATTATTCTTTTAATCTGTCGTCATTTCATAAAGTTCCCAGACTTTATGAAATGGCAGTAGTAAATCGCTGAAGTACCCCTTTCAGTAATTTGGTTAAATCATGTCTTATATTGTATCCAAATTCCCCACTACTTCTGTTTAAATCAGTGATTTCCAGCAGCTTCCAGCATAAATATTAATATCTATTCAGTATAGTAATATCAATGATACAGAATTCCTGCAGCAGAATGATCGGCTCATAAGAAGGCCACATTGCAAAGGGCATAACAAAGGACAGAGGGAGTGAATAGATGGTGAATTTAATTACACTCTGTGGGACACACCCACTTTGATTGACAATTACACCCCACAGGAGCGTGATTAAACCTGCTCACGTCCCCCGCATAAACCCGCATACACACGCTCACACACACGTTTACTGTAATTAAACAGATGATTTTACAGAGCGAGGGGAGGAGGGGGAGGCGTTTGTGTTTTTGACACCATCGGGTGATTGTTATCAGGATCCACTGCTCTTTACAATCACCACGGGGACGTGAGTGGCGCCCGTTTCCCCACTATCACTCCCTGATTGATTGGAAACGCTGTCTGTGCACAATTTCATTGGTCGATAGGGATCAGTATTCTGGCACTGGACCATTGATCAGGGACAGAGACCTGTGTGAGTGTGTGTTTGGGCGTGTGTGATGAAATCTGAGGCAATATATTGATAGATTTTAAGGACAAATACCAGTTAAACCTTCCATAAAGAGAGAAGAGCGTGTTGTAAAGTGGCGAGGCAGAGGGCACTGAGGGCAGGAAGGAGTGCTGACATTTGGGGAGAATCCTCTTGCCAGCGTTGGTTGTATCATATCAACAGCAACAACACACAGCCAGTCACACCACAGTCGTCTTTAACACACACATTTGACAGCCAACTTGCAGCATGGACTCAAAAAGGCCAAAAGCAAAGAGGGCAGTTGGTCTTTAGCCAGCTCATCTGCCAGTCTGGCCCTCAGACTTCAGCCCACATCACCGTCAATCTGCCTGATAAGAGCGGACGCAGAGGAGGGGGAGCAGCCAGGACAGTAGCCCCATCACACTCACCTCCCCCTGGGCAGAGAACTCAGATGGCCCAGGCCACTTTGCCCAAGACCCTGCTTCTCCCAGCGATGGGGGCCGTGTGGCCTGCCACTCATCCAGAGCTGATGTGACATGGCCATTACGCTGCTAGGAGGGGCAGTCTTTTTTTTTTAATATCCAGTCTCTGTGTGTTTGTCTTTAATATCTACCTTTCTTTCTTTGTCTCCCATCAGCCATCGCCGTCTGTTTTACCTCCTCAGCCTGTTCCGTCCATGATGCTACTGCCCCATCGTTTCATTTCCTCTTGTCTCGTGATCTCTGTCATTTCATCTCAAGTCACTATTTCTATCTTTTCCTTTATCATTTCTCTCTTTCGGTCTCTGCCTCTGTGTTTCAGTTTTTCTCTCTGTCGTTATCTATTAAACTGCAAAAGCAAAAATTCCCACTCACTGGAGCGACAATGTTTTCAGGCAACAGTGTCATTTTGTTTGCCAAAAGGTCCAACCAGTTATTACAATAATGTTTGTAAGGCTCCAACTTGCACTTTATTTTCAGTATATTCAGTACAGATAATTAATTAATTTACTATTATCATCATTGTTATTATTATTATTTATCAATAACTGTAATAAAATTTATCATGTAGGGATGGATCTGATATTGTTCGTTTAATGGGTTGTCACTAGTGATTTATAATGTGTATTTTTGTACTGGTTGTGTAATTTTTTGCACCTCTGACCAAATTAAATCCTTTTTTAAATAATAAAGTTAAATGTAATTTTTTTTTTTTAACTTGATAGAGTCTTA